CATTATTCGTTTTTAATAATAATAACAGCTAAGCTGGAACGGTATTTTTTTTTGGGACACGCTGTATGTTTGCTTCCCCCCCGTCCACCTATAAGGAGGTTAGGTCGTCGAGAATCGTGATGTTTCCTTGGAACATATTGTTATTACTATTATAGCGCGAAAGCTCGGTCCTCGCTGGCGCTGTGCCTTGAGTTCATTAAAATCAAACTTTTCTCATTACCGGTCGTTTTAACTTTGTTGTCAGCGGCGTAGACGATAATAAAAAAAAAAAAAAATACTTTCACCGTCGTTGCGTCGGTCGAGCCTTACGCTTCCGTCGAGTTGTCTTTTTTTTTCTTTCTAAGTTTTTGTTTTATTTTTTGAAGTAGTTAGTAATTGTAGAAAATAACGAGCGCCAAACGTAGGTATCGTCTTGTCTCGACCTGGTGGATACACCGGTTAAAGGTTCGCCTCGGTTCGCATTCCACGTTTTAGAAATACCTCTCGATCGCGCTCATCAGCCGCAATGTATTTACAATAATATCTAATACTTGTGTGTTGTTGTTCTTCACTGTAACATATTATTGTTTTATATGTTTTGGCTCTTCCGTCGACATTGTTGTGCACATACAGTGGTGTAATATAATGGAGTCGCCTCAATACGTTTCGTATTCCGTCTGGGGCGAAATCGTCGACCGCCTTTTACCCTTTTCCCGTTCTCGGACCCTCGGCCGCATATTTTAACTACCGTGAAATATTCCATAAAATATTTGGAATAACATCGAAATACGGTATACCGTATTATAATATATTTTTAATCCGCCACAGCACTATAATGTTATAAACGGCGGCGGAACAGTTTAATTATGATTCACGAGTGTTATTTCTGGGGCAGAGCCCTCTCTCTGGCCGAGACGTTTCCGGGCAAATGGCCCGGGCGATTTTTACATCAATTAACCGAGAATGTCCCTCATACATAACTAATGGACCCGCCGGCATTGCTGCCACCGCACCGTGTCATATGCGGTAAGTCCATCGTACGACCGCGGAGGTCCCCGTTTCCATCACACAGAGGGAGAACAAAAAAACATTATATATATAAACGCGAGCAAATGACACGCGGGAGAGAAAAAGAGGTTAGAGGTGGTCGTATAACGATTTGTTTGACAAACGAGAGACAGCGCGGAACGACGTAGGTTTTAAGATTATATTTTCTTCTTAAATATAGAACTCTGCGCGCGAGTATACGGAGTGAGATAAATAAAATGAAAAAAAAAACACACACCGTTGGCGGAGAGAAGTCGTTATCGCTGCGTATACTCTCTTGTCCCCCCCTCGTTTAATTATAAAATCATTATCATCCGGCCCTGGTGTACACCATTAAAATCTGTCACGGGACGTTTGAATATTATAAGTGTTTTTTTTTCCATGAAAAAATAATATTAATGACCCTAAAACAACAACGGCGCGGCAGCGGGCGTACGGTGTCGTCAGACATAGTCCGGCTGAAACAAAAGACCAAGGTCTGCAGTTGAAATTCTACACTTTCATACATGATTTTGTTTTTTTACCTCTTCGTCATTAATCGGTTTAAATCAGTCTCATCCGAAGTCAACAGAGCAAAGGAGTCGAATTACCCGACGGCGGCGGCTATTTCGCTTCGCCGAACTCTAGAGAGAAAAATATATGACTTCCCTGTTTATTTTTTTAACTCCGCAAAAAAAAAAAAAAAAACGTCTTTTTCACTATACTACAGTCAAATGTAAATCGCAACGCAATTATAACCCAAACGAATTAGCGAAATCATTTTTTTCGGTATTAATGATTTAAGTATTTTTGTTTACAATCAATTTAAAACCACTGTTCGATCGGGTCTAAGGGTTTCGTGTTATAGCATTGCATTCTTGGCGAGACGAACTCTCTGAGCTCGAATAAAATAAAATTACTAAACAAGAAGACTGATATGCAAATCGAATAATTTGTTGTATAGGATTAGGACGTCGCGTACACTGCTGTGCGTCCTTTAAACGGCTGTAATAAAACCGATTGAACCGTAAAAGGGAAATCGCTAATTTTTCAAAACGGTAGGTAGTATCCGTACAAAAAAAAAAACATCGTCCGGATGTATAAAAAGGGGATAAAAAGTAAAAACCACCGGTGAATGATGCGTGGAATATTGCAAAAGTTTCCGGGGAGCATCAATCTTCTCCCGGACACGACGGTATTTGTGTTTTGTTTGTCGTGGACATTGTCATATTATTATTATGCATGGGGATTGTATTAAAAAAATATTTGTATTTAAATTTTGTGTGCGCCGTCGTTCGACCAGACCATTAAATAATAATAATAATAACGAAAAAATGTCTTTTGGGAATACCAAAAATATAATGCTGCCACTTCGAGTGTGTGTTCCTAATAGTACAAAATTGGATTTCGTTAGCCCCGGGACGAACGAGTAACGAAATATTTTATTTACAGGTTACATTTCAGTGTGTCTGTGTTCGAACCGAATAAATAAAATGGATGTACGCCACCGCGGGTAAACGAGTTTTGAATACTCGTGTTGTATTATATTCGTTCGCCGCCTTCGGTATGTAAAGCGAAATCCGAAACGTTTCTTCCGAAAAAAAAAACCCAAAAAGAGTTGTTGCCACTATACAGGATGGTATTTGTTTGAAAATAAAAGTACGTTGAACGTGCAACTAAATTCACCTTTGGTACACAATATTATAGTATTGTCTACCGCGTTAATGTGGCGCTTAAACGACTGTCGTTGTCGACCGCGACCGATTTACATTTTCACATCGAATGTCTTGGACACGGTCGTCCGTGCCTTTTGTTTCTGCCGGTCCAGTCCTTGGAGACAACCGTCTCGAAAACAGTTTGCTAACTACTATGGCGATTCGGCCATGACGAGAAAACTTAGCTTTACTAACCACCGTTACAACACTACACCCGGTCCCCGGTCGAACACATAAAACGGCTGTAGAAACTTTGAAGGGGAAAAAACATAGTCGGCGGGGGTGGGGGGGGGTGTTGTAGGGAAAGTTATGGTGACTTCGGGAAACGTCACCCGCGGGACGGTTGACGGGCAATCAAAACACACCGGGGCGTTTGCCTTAAGGCCGTCCAAAATCAACCCTTTTTGATTAGTGTCTTGTACCGTGCTCCCCTCCCCCCCCGTGCACGTACATTTCTGTTTATCGCACCTACGGAAATTTTCAAATCCCGCGGGTCCACTTTTCAGGGATTACAATATTACCGTTATTATTATTGTTATTATTGCGTATAAACATCGGCCGCGGCGACCAACGGCCGTCCCCTATACTTGCTGGGGGAAGGGGGGGGGGTGTCCACGTCTAGCGCAGGCGTCCAGAAAATTGTTGCCACTTGACAGAGACTGATGATAACCACCGATGCCGTTTACAACTTCCGGCGGCGTCGGCAGAGGGAGAGTTATTGCACCAAAGGAATAAGGAAAAAAACCCCCGGAGGCCAAGAACATTGGGTAGACTACTATAAGGGAAGGGGTGGCGCGGTGCTGTTCGTACCGCGTTTGAAAAATGAGCGCGTGCCCCTTATACGCTTTTTACCGTTGCCTCCACTCGTCACGGTGCCCCGACCTTTGTATTGCGAATGCGATATGAATTTCTCGGTTTTCGAGAGCCTTTCGCTATAAAAGTTTCTATATTTCCCCCTTCACCACCTCTCTTTTAGTCGATTTACAGTTACACCCCCCCCCCCCCCGTCCGGTCGGGTTCATAACGCGTATACCTCTTAGGCCCCAACACCGACGCATGCAACGATATTACACACATACATCACTTTGCTTTGTTCTTATTCTTTCAACACAAGACGTTTGAATGTTGCCACCATAGTTCACCCTGCCATCTGCGCGTTTTGCCCACGACGGTTAATCGAATGCAAAAGAGTATAAAAAAAGATATTTGATTATAAAGTTGTATGGATTTTGTCGGTTCTTATCCCGCGACCCCGACATAAAAATAATTACAGACATTTTTTTTGCTTTCACGACGTCGTAAATAAAAATGAACCCCATTTCTAGAATTCCTTTTTTTATTTTTACGACTATTTTTCGTTTGTTTTTTTTATACTGTCCGTCCTGATGAGTGGAAAGCTATAACAAAAGCGCGTTATACAGTGTATAAATAAATATATGGGGAGGGATTTACAATGGTAGAAGTAAATTCGGAGGTTTGTAACACTGCCGGAGGGGGTCGGTGTGTTTGTTTTTCGGAGTCGCTTCGTTATAAGGGTTGGACGTATATGGCAACGATGCTTTTAACGTCGCTGGCGCGTCTTAGTGTTATATAAACTGTTTCTCGAGGAAAAAAAATAAAAATACAAAGAGATAAAGAGAGTTGTGTTCGGGTGTCCGCTAATTTTTGTTCTTCACTCTACTAATGGATGGAAATAGCAACAATCCTAACAGTAGCCGTTTTCCGAAGCATACGGGGAAGTTACATGTATATGGCGAGAGAAGGCTCTTGAGTGTGTTGTACGCCCCATCAAGACTTAGAAAATAAGAATAGTAGCGGACGTCATAATAAAAATAAAACGGGACGCTTGTCGTTATTAGCGCAGGGGAAAGAGTAATTCTATCGTCGACCGAGTGGCGACCAAGAGTGGTATTCGGTTTTATTATTTCTCATGCATTTAAATTGTATCGTTTTCTTTTTTCTCGCTTTATACCTATAACTACGTCTTGCCGGCATCTCTTGCGATGAGCGAATTCTTCCATTAAAAATACCCGGATATTCCAAAAGGATCGCTATTTACCTTACGCAAACAATATTATTATTCGACATTAAAGGTACCTATTGAGTGTGGATCGTTCGAATTTCCAACTTTACCGGAAACAAGTGAACGGTATTATTCTAACGTACGTTATAAGAAATAATTTGAATTTCACCTAATATATCATTATGATAACGTTATGAACGTTTATGAAACGTGCGAAACATGTTGTTAATTTGTTGTATTTTGTTTGTGATTTGCAGGAAAAGCGAACAGAGCATACCAACCGTACCAGCATCGCGGTGATAGCAGTGACGGGGAATGTGACGAGGACACCGCAGAGTTCCAACCCGGCCACAGCCATCCCCACGGTCAACAACAGCAACACCACCATCATTCGTACCACAGGAGTCATCGCCGGAGGCCCACCAATCACACTTACCAGCAACCAGGTTCTCTGTTGACTACGGACACGAGCGGTACGTCCGGCAATTGTTCTGACGCCACACTTACCGACTCGGAATTGGCGTTTGCCAGAGACGCAACTCTTCAGTTACACGACGGTCAGTACATAGTAATTTGATAAACTCATCCAAAAATATTATCAAACGCGTTTTTTTTCGATACGGTTTTTTGATATTAAATAGAAAAACCAAGTCATGTCCCGGTCGGTGTTCCACGAATAAATTATTATTCTCAAAATTAGAAACTTTCGATTATTCTAACGGCGGGTTCAGAATCTTTTAAAACGCTTTGGAGAACAAAAGTTTTCGGTGAGGTGCACAAAGACGAATGACTAAACCGTATCGGACGACTCTATCATTTTGACTTGTGTATACTGGTTATTAGTTGTCTTTGTGCTCTCTCGGGTTTGCCAGCGTTGCCCCCGTCGTCGCTGACGTTACGGATGACGATAGTTTTTCAAAATTATTAGCCAAAGGGATTTATGTGCGTTTAAGAGTCGTGACGAAACCGACGAGCACGAGGGCAGTTCTCTTGGGGTTTACTAGAAATATAGGAGAAATCCAGAAAGGGGGAAAAACGCCCTTCGGAATATCAGAGTAGGCCTGTTATCAAAACAAATGGTTTTCGCCCGGTGGCGGTTGAAACGGTGAAAGATTTGCCGAGACGTCTACTTTTTACAGTTTACTCACCGCACAACTCTCTTTCATAGACATCGGCTGTCTTTATTTGTTCTTGACAACCGAATCGTCGTCGGTGACTGTCGGTTGTGTTGTGACGGTTAATTAGTTAAATAGTCTGATAGTGTATATCATATTATAATAATAATGTTATAATATCCATCGATAATCAATCAGCCGGCTAAATTACAATTAGTTCAACGAGCTTTTAGGTCGTTTGCGCGCCCAAGTACGCGTACACAATGTCTACTGGTAACAATATATCCCAAAATGCTTTTAACGTGATTAACGCTCGGACCATCGGCGGAATGTTAAAATAACAGTATAACGCCGGCGCGTATTCAGTATACATGTATAATATATATTTATAGAGAGGGTTGTTGGAGAAATAGCGGCGCGGGTTTGTAAGAAAAATCATAATTTTTTTACTACTGGAAGTAAGCCCCCGCACCCTTTAACCAGTCAGCTAAGTGTACACCGACCGTTGTCCAGCAATTAGAGAAAATTGAAGTTAGACTGCGTTGGAGATGTGTGCTGCGCCTACGCTTGGTTCGATAATTATTATTATTTTAATCGACAGCCCTGTTGGTTGTGGCCATGAACGCGCACTGCCAAAAGCGAATCAATTCAATTACCGACCGTATTTAAATTGTTATCGGTGAAAAATACTATAACGTTACACACAATGCGGGCACGAGGGCAACGCGAACAAAATAATATAACGAACCAAAGAGAGAGAAAAAAACTCATAATAAATAGACGTACCAATTACTTAATGCACGTGCCGCTTGTCAGAGCGAAAAGCGTCGGTAAGTCTGTTGTTTGGCCAAAGGAAATTACCTGTCTTCGATTGAAAAATTAACTTTAACGGCGATCGCTGCCAATTAGGGAGTAGACACGGGGATTATCGTTAGTGTGGAAATATTACAAGTCGCAAAGTTAACGGCGTACAAACATTTCATTTATATTTTCCTTTCTAAAATTACTGATGGAAACGGTTTCCGCTGGGCTTGTCCAAAAACGTGTAATTCACCCGAAGAACCGAAAAACTTTTGCAAAAAAAATTCAATGTGAATTTTTTTGTTATATCATAATTATTGTTAGATTATCGTTGGAGCGTGTCAAAAATGCATTTAACATTGGTCGTTAATGATAATTAATTTCGTTGTCGCGCCAAGGCCCGCGTCGTTCAATATGAAATAATACAAAATATCTCAGAGCTCTTTGCAATTATTATATTGTGTAGTTTTGGGGGCGACAAATTGCCGATAATAATAACAACAATAACGACGGTCGTCTTGCAGTGAAACTTTGAGCGTTCGACATTTAGAGAAAAACCGGCCGCGTTAACGACATTAACGGACATAACAATAGTGATAATAATAATAATTGTTCCATACGCGATAATTAGTTTTAATTGTTTTTAAACGGATATAAACGACCAGCCCCTTTGGAAAAATAATCACCGCCGGACGTTTTTATTGCGCAATAATTTTGCTCCCAACAAGTTTTCCTCGTTCTTGTTGATTATATTTTCGTCGAAGCGCTGGAAAACTCCTAACTCGCGTTCACGGATTTTCCACTCACACACACACACACACACAATATTAAACTGAAGACGACCGTGTTATTAATATTGTTGTTTTTCACCGAATCGGCTCTCTTGCACAATTGTCGTCGTCTTACGCCTCCCTTTATTATGGCTCGGGAATTCCGCCCGTTCTTCCGTCTTATAATATTATGTTTTTGATATAATATCAACAGAAAAAAAGACCAGGAAAATGCGAGCGACGACGAATATCGACTATAAACACACACAACGAGCATCGACCGGGGATAAGTGTGTTTTTATGAGCGCCCTCGCTAAAAGCTTCACCACCTCATGGCAGTCGTCGCAGACCTCTGTTGTTTATGTATCTCTCGCACCTTGACTGCAACCTATTTCGTTTCATCCCTCACGCCGGCCATTTCAAGCACCTCGCCGTTGTTGTTGTTGTTGCTATATTTTCGGCTAAGCTTATTATTTTTTATTATTATTTGATCGTCGGTTACAACGAAATCCTATAGTACTTGGTACTTCGAGCCAACGAAAAAGACAAAATAATATCATATAAAAGAACAAAAGATTATTGAAGCCATAAACACCAATAAAACTGAGTTCGTCAACTCGACCGACTAATCGCTAAATTATTTACAGTCGTCTTTTTAGCGTCGCAATAAACACGCATAGCTGAAAATAACAGTATATAATAGTATATAACAGCTTTTTCAAGTATATAAGTTCACGTTGTCTGCACCTGTTCTATACAGTATACAGTGTCTGTGCGTTTTATTGCATTGTTTAGTCTATAATATGGTAAAGAAACATTAAAGTATGTACTCTATATTATTACTTTGCAAGATTTTTACGGCCATCGCAATAATAGTAATATTGTCGCGGTCCCCGAACAAGTGTACTCTGTTCTGTTGAGAGTGAGTTTATTAGTATGCATATTATCCGAAACAGAGCAATTTCTCGGGATCCATACAAATAGGGCCTCGTTTCGGTGGCGATCCACCCAATCACAGGGTCTCCGTGTATATATAGGTGCGGTCCGGGTTTTCAACCCCTATTCGATGATGTTAATTCAAATGGCAAAGGCGGCGGTTCTACACGTTTTGATGCGTGTGGGCGACGCTAAACGCATTTCTATATAAATCACCAGACGACGGTCACGGTGGACTACCGTGGTCCCTTATACGTTATATGTATGTATTATGGGCAAACGAAGGCGTTGTACATTTTATGTGGCATGCACGTTTCGCACCGGTTTGTTTTCACACACAGTTCACCCTCTCTAACTACACTGACAACGCCCTCGAACTGGATTACCTCGTTCGATTTCGGTGATTTATCCGGACGGGAAGGAAACCAGCCCAATCCGATGATACAATCTACTGATAGCGCCTTTTTTGACGGCCCAACTCACAATAACAATGTAATATTGTGATACTATTAACTACATTTATTGTTGTATCATCGGCGCCATAGGACACTGGATGACGTTTAATTTATTTTACATTATTATATGTTATGATGAAAACTGCAGATAACCATATTACTTGTTATTATTTGTACACACCGGTAGGATTCGATAGGAGTCTGCATGAAACTATACATTTCATTTTTTTACTAGAGGGTGAATTCGATTGTGAACTCGTTTGGAATTATTGCTCAGTGACTCTTATAGTTTAGATATTATTATTATGTGTTGCGGAAGCTCATTGATTCGACTTATATTTTAGTACCGACAACCGATTAAGACGTGGAGTCGGTTCTTCTTTGATCATCGGGTAGCTAAAGCAAAGTCAACATATGCGTACCTAATCTATACTCGACGTACGAGCTGAGTGCTTCTCGACGTCTTGTTTGATTTCAAGCAGTTTGAAGACAAGTTGGTTCTAACGTTGACTGTTATTGCCATTTCAGAGCGCATGTGTTCTTAATTAATGTTTGTGCCTCTCTATGGATTGATATTTATATAGGGGTTGTTGATGGAGAAGTAATTGCATTCTTGGCAGTCGGTCGGTTTGTTCATTATCATTTATATTATTATAACGTCCTGACTGGATCCAAAACACTTTGGAGATCACGCCATATGATGGCGGTTTGTGTGTGAATTGATGGCTGAGTTTTTAATGCTGTGGATGTTCTAGATAAACTGATACTTGATTATTTTGATTAATATAGTAAAAAGTAATGTTGTCGATCCTGCTGTAAATATTGTTAAATTTAATCAACTCATTGTAAGTGTTTATATTGCTACTACGACCGCTGGATTCGGGGTAAAATGAGTAAATACACCTTTAGCGAACATTAACGCAATTGTTATGGGATTGATTGGAAACCACCTTGGGGTTTTCATTGGCCGACTATTTGATTTCGACAGTTGTGGCTTACGGTGGACTTTACAAAATCTGTATAGTAGTAATCCGGCGGCAGTTAATACCATCTCAGTGCGGTACGTTCAAGAGCGGCTATTGATTACCGCCCGGTATGTTGTTGTTGCTATAATAATCTAAACTGTAGAGTACCACCTGCAACGACGACGGTATAGTAGTGATATAATATCTATAAAATATTACCCGACGGTGGTGCTGCGCGCGTACTTGGACTGCGAGGGGAAATGGAATAATAAATATTTTGTTCATTTCCGCTGTATGTCGCCGTGTTAACCCTAAATAGCGCACGAGGGCTTTTTTTTTCCCCGGTGTTATTTAAAGTCATTCGTGTAACACAAATTGGAATGGCTTAGCCCGGCGGACACGCGACTATAGTATGGCGTCGAGTAGCGTTTTTCCAAAGATTCGTGTTTCGCCGACCCTGAGAGCACCGATGCGTTTGAAAGACGCCGTTGGTCATCATCAATCTTTCCGGTACG